TGAATCTCAATGCTGATGTAATGAAATGCTTCTTCTAAGTATGTGGTTATTAAATAAATAATTTTTAAAAATGGTATATTTTAAAATAAAAAAATATTTTATTATTTTTATTTTATGTGTAAGAGTGTTTTGCCTGAACATATGTAAATATACCACATGTGTGCAATGCCAGTGAAGCCAGAGAGGACACTGGATCCCCTGGAACTGCAATTACAGATGGTTGTTTGTCACCCTGTGGGTGCTGGGACCTGAACCTGGATCCTGTGCAAGAGCAGTCAGTGCTCTTAACTGCTAAGCCATCTCTACAGACCTGAATCGGAGATATTTCTTTTAAAATTTCCACTACTCAGAATTCCCATTGTTTACAGATGTGAATCAAAGGTTTTCAGATTTCTTGTATCATGGCTCACATGGTGGATATTTGTAAGATACACTAGGTCCCGGAAGTTCATGGCCACAAGCTTCATGAGGCCAGTCCCAGCTGCCAGAGCAAGTATCTCCTGGAGATTCAGCAGCTGGGAATGTTGATTTATTTTATAGAATTCTATGTAGTTAATCTATCTTAGGAACCAAACCAGTCTACTTTACTCTTCTTGGTGCTGGGGATGGCATACTTTTTATCACGTAAATGACTTAACCGAAGGGCTAGAGAGACGACTCAGCAGTTAAGAGTACTCGCTGGTCTTGTAGAGGACCTGGGTTAAGTTCTCAGCACCACACGTCAGCTCCCAACCATCTGTAACTCCAGTTCCTGGGGATTTGACATACTCTTCTGGCCTCCAAGGGCATCAGGCATTCACACAGTGCACATATATAAATGCAAGCAAAACATTAATACACAGTTAAAGAAAATCTAAAAAAATTTGAGAATTTACTAATAATTTTCTCTTCAATAATGGAAGTCATTATTATTATCATAAGGTCTAAGCTATATAGACCTGGCTGGGCTGGGACTCGCTATGCAGCCCATGCTAGTCTCAAACTCATAGCAATCCTCCTGCCTCTGCCTCCCAAGTGCTGGAATCACAGGTATATACAAAGTCCAGCACTAAACTGTTTTAGATACAGTATAGAAAAGGAGCTCCTGGGGCTGGAGAGATGGCTCAGCGGTTAAGAGCACTGACTGCTCTTGTAGAGGACCCAGGTTTGATTCCCAGCACCCACATGGTGGCTACGAACCGTCCTTAACTCCAGTTCCAGGGGAATCCGAAGCCCTCTTCTGACCTCCACGGCATTGCACCACACGGGTGCGCTCACATACCCACAGGCAATATACTCATACACATAAAATAAAAATAATAAATAAAGTAATTAAAAAAAAAAAAAAGAAAAGGAGCTCCTGATGTACAGAATTCACTTTACTCTGCAAAGTATTAACATCAAGTTGAAATATATGATTTTTATGTCCCTTTTATGATCATTTTTCTACTTTTATAAACATCATATGCAAACTACTTATAAATCATGTGCTCAATGAATACCAATTTATGAAAGACAAGTTACTGCAGAAAACAGTTTTTAAAATTTATGGTCACTAGGGGACTGGAGAGATGCCTCAGCTGTTAAGAACATTGGCTTTCTTGCAGAAGACCGGGGTTTGAATCCTAGCACCACATGGCAGCTAACAACTGTCCATCACTCCAGTTCCAGGGGATCCGACAGCCTCTTCTGTCCTCTGCAGGCATTGCACGACATGGGTGCATTTACCTACATGCGGGCAATACACGCATACACATAAAATAAAAGTATTTTAAAATTTATGGTCACTTAATTATCACTCATATCTTTAGAATGCATGTTATATAAGGATGGAAATACACCTAAGTGACAGAGAGCTTGCCTAGCATTTGTAAGGCCCAGTGTCCAACACCTCACACTGTAAAATAAAGATATTAATAACAATATAAAATGCAAAAAAATATTGAGGAATGAACTAATCAGAATTTAATAATCCTCATTTAAGTTACTGAAGCTCATACCAGTATGATTGTAGACAACATCTGTAATGCAGATAATATTCCATTCTTTCTTTAGTTTTTCTACTAGCTCCCCAACATCATACCAGGTGTATTTTTTATTAGGCCTTGAAAAGTCTGGATTTAGTTCTAACTGGTCAGCAAGGGAGTAGCAGGATCGGGATAATCCAAGAGTCTGCAGCGGGGTGAAGTGAATCATGTTGTAACCTAGAGCCAAGAAAACAAAGACCACAGTCTGAAAAAGCAAGCAGACCATCCCACAGCTAAGCAAACTGCAAATGTGCCCTCTCTCAGAGACTTGTCAACAGGGAGGCAAACTTGCTAGTAGAAAAAGAGACCAAAGACTTGGGTTCAAGTCCTAGCTGTAGCACTGGAGGCCTTAAGTAAATCTACTTAAATCTTCAGGCTATCATTGTCCTCATCAACGTGACAGGGATGACGACATCATGCATTTGGTAACCATCAATGCAGTGCTTAGCTATCAGCAGAGGTTCAATTTGTAACTGCTGAAACAGAATATACTGTATGCAAATGGATAACACACATCTTTTACTCTGAATGCTCCACAGACCCTATTGAATTTTTCCTTCCTTTCTTCATGGTGTTTTCAACTTGAAAGTAGATTAATGCTAGTCTTATTGTACTTAGAAAAATCTGAGTTTAACTGTATGCTTGGTATGTTCAGTGGCACATACCTTTTATATGGAAAATGGCTAATCAATATTGGCTTATTAAAATTATATAGGAATACATCCTCTTTATAGTTTAATAGCTTGTTTCTAATATTTATATGTCAATTAAAATCTTAGAAAAGATAATTATCTTTATTTTCTTTTGAGGCACAATCTTCCTATAGCCCCATTTGATCTGGACCTCGCTATGTAGACCAGGCTGGCCTTGACCTCACAGAGACATGCCTGCCTCTACTTCCCGAGTGCTGGGACTAAAGGAGAGTGCCACCATGCCTGGCTACATAACAGTATTTTTATGGATTATAGGATATATTTATATTAATATGTTTAGGATTAAGATAAAAAGTAGAAATAGCAGGGCATGGTGGCACATGCCTTTAATTCCAGCACTTGTAAAGCATAGGCAGAGAGATCTCTGTGACTTCCAGGTCATCTGGGGCTAGAGGGTGACCCTGTCTCAAAAAGACCAAAAAAAAAAAAAAAAAAAAATTAGAAAAAAGCGTTTGAAATCTGTAAAGAGACATTTGTTTTTATTTTTTTATCATTTATTTTTATTTTTTATGTGTATGAGTGTTTTGCCTGAATATATGTAAAGGCATCACCCATATGAAATGCCCACAAAGGTCAGAAGAGTGTGTCAGATTCCCTGGAACTGGAACTACAGATGGTTGTTAGCTATCATGTGGGTGCTAGGAACTGAACCTGGGGCTTCTGGAAGAGCAGCCAGGGTTCTAAACTGTTGAGTCATCTCTCCAGCCCCAACATCTATTTTTAAAAAGAGGGGAAAAAAAAAAAGAAAGAAAGAAAGCCAATTGACATTACCTGATTCCTTTGCCACCCTAAGTCTGCTCTCCCATTCATCAAAGGGTCCTAAACACTTAGCTAAAAATGTCTGGAGAGTTACGCAGTCCAAGGGTAACACATGATTATCAGCTCCAACACGTAAAACAGGATCCACAACTATGTAACCTCCACCACTTTTCTCATTTCTAAGGGAAAATAAACCACAAAATTTCAATTAGTGAGAGGAAAAAAATCATCAACCGAGTCTGATTCTAACTAGAAGGCTAATGGCCCATTTAAGTTCCTTCTTTCCTCCTTCTTCCCCTCCTTCCCTCCCTCCCTGTCTATTTTCCTCTCTCTCTCTCTCTCTCTCTCTCTCTCTCTCTCTCTCTCCTTTCTTTTTCACTGGGTCTCATGCAGCCGAGGCTCGCTCAACCTTACTATGTAGCTAAAAAGGACCTTAAACTGCTTCTATTTCCCCAGTGCTGAGTTGTAGGCCTGAATCACTATACCTGGCTAAAAAATATTTTTATTTCTAAGAACATAAAATCACTTACAATGGAACAGCTATTTTCTATTCTTTATCAATTATTATAGAACTACATAATAATATGCATGTATTGGTTAGTTTTAAATACCACTTGCCACAGCCTAGATTCATCTGGGAAGAGACTGAGAAATTTCCTAGATCAGGCTGGCCTGTAGACATGCCTGTGGGGGATTGTCTGGATTGTTAATCGATGTAGAAGACCCAGCCCACTATGGGCAGTACCATCTCCTAAGAAGGTAGTCCTGAACTGTGTAAGAAAACTAGCTGAGCACAAGTCTGCCTGCCAGCCAGCAGCCTCCTCCATGCTCCTGCTGCACTTCTGTGGCTGTGAAGTGAGTCTTTGGTCACAGGTAATACTGTACGGAACAGCAAGCACGCCTGCCTTCTTGCTACCTGGCACTTCTGTCAGTGATGGACAGTGATCCGGAACTGTAAGCCAAATAAACCCTTTCTTTCCCAGAGATGGTTTTGATCAGTTTTTTTTGTTTGTTTGTTTTTGTTTTTTTTAATCACAGTGACAGAAGTAAAACTGGAACAGAAATTGGTACCAGAAGTGGGATTGTTGTGATGAACCTATGTGACTTTTTATGCCTTTGGACTGTTCTGTGGAAGACTAGGAAACTTTGGGATGGAAAAGTTGTTGAGTGCTCAAGAGTTTAATGAGTTATTCTTGTGGGAGCTTGGAAGATATGAGTGCTGACAGAAATGTGGACTGTAGAGGCCTGGCTCATGAGGTTTCAGAGGGGAGCAAAGAGACTCAATCAAGAACTGGGCTAGGGGCCATTTGTGTGATATTGTGGCTAAGAATTTGTATGTGCTGGTTAGCTGGGGCTGAAGAACCAGCTGTGACTGACAAAAGATCGGAATCACTGAAGCACCATTCTGTGTTTTACTAGGACAAAAGGAAAGAATTTCCTCAGGGTCAGCACACAGAAGTTGATCCAAGGAGGCTAGACTACATTGTGAGTTTGCAACAGAACTTGGCAAACAGTATGTACCAGTCATCCATATGGTGCTGGTTTTGCAGGATTGAAGGGATCACAAAGAGAAGCTGAGGCTTGCACCTTGTGGCAAGATCAGGGTCCCTGCAGAGAGGCCCTGAGAGGCCACTGGCAAAGGTAAAGTCTCAGTTGCAGTGGAGACCTCAGGATATTGGAGATGCCAGGACCATGGGATGTCTAACAAGTGGCCTACAGAATCTGGATTTATACTGCTGGATTTTGGTTTTGTTTAAATGTGATTCTTTTTATGGCTTGGTTCTCCCTTTGGAATAAAATATGTAACTTTGTTTTGACTCATAGTTAAGAGACTTCAAGTTTACAAAAAGATTTTAAACTCAAAGTGTAGAAATTTTAAAATACTGGGGCTGGAGAGATGGCTCAGTGGTTAAGAACACTGGTTGTTCTTGCAGAAGACCCGGGTTCGAATCCCAGCACCCACATGGCAGCTAACAACTGTCCGTAACTCCAGTTCCAGGGGATCCGAGAGCCTCTTCTGATCTCCGTAGGCATTGCACAACACAGGTGCACTTACCTACATGCAGGCAATACATGCATACACATAAAATAAAAATAAATTCGGGGCATGGTGGCTCACACCTTTAATCCCAGAACTTGGGAGGCAGAGACAGGTGGATCTCTGTGAGTTCAAGGCCAGCCTGGTCTACATAGTGAGTTCCAGGCCAGCTGGAGCTACAGGGAGACCCTGTCTCAAAAAAACCAAAAAAAAAAAAAAGAAAATTTAAAATAACTGTGGTTATAAATGTAGTTGTACTACATTTTACATTACGATACAAACATAAGACTTTAGGGACAAAAAAATGAAAAGTTATTGGTTAAAGTGATGTGTTTATGTGTTGATAAGGGGTGGCTCTTGTTGGTTAGTTCTAAATGCTAACTTGCCACTATGTAAAATCACCTGGGAAAAAAGCCTCAATTGAGGATTTTCCTAGATCAGGTTGGCCTGTGGACATGCCTGCAGGGGATTTCCTTGATTGTTCACTGATATAGGAAGACCTAGCTCACTATGGGCAGCACCACCCCAAGGCATGTGGTCTTGAATGGTGTAAGAAATCTCTTTGAGCATAAGCCAGCCAGCCACCAGCCTCCCCATGCTCCTGCTGTACTCCTTTGGCGGTGAAGTGAGTTCTTCGGTTGGAATGAATGCTCTGTGGAACAGCAAGCCAGGCCTGCCTTCAAATTCTTATTGTGACTTCTCTCAATGAGGCAGTGATCTGGAACTGGAAGCCAAATAAACCTTTTCTCCCCCAAAGCTGCATTTGATCAGGGTATTTTATACACAACAGAAATGAAACTATAACCACATATAAATCCACTCATGCTGATTTATGGGAAAGAAGACTATCAGTAATAATGACAAGTACACCCAAACAGAAGCTTATAAGCCAGTTGCAGGAAAAAGCTAGAGTTTATATTTAATTATATAATACTTTGAATCTTCAATGGGCTATGCAGTAGCTTCCTTGAAACTGAAGAATCACATGCTATTTACAGTTCAAGAAAACACTGTAACATGGTTCATACAGTAACATTTACAAGTCAGTTAACCTTTTTTTTTTTTTTTGTCTTTTTGAGACAGGGTCTCCCTGTAGCCCCAGCTGTCCTGGAACTCACTATATAGACCAGACTGGCCTTGAACTCACAGAGACCCACCTGCCTCTGCCTCCTGAGTGCTGGGATTAAAGGCATGCGCCACCATGCCCAGCACAAGTCAGTTAACTTTGTTACACAATAAATTAACTTTTTCTCCCAGGTAGCACACCTGACTTACCCCTGAAGGAAGTAATACTGAAATGATCCAGACAGCTGCAGATGAAGTTTACAGTATTTATCAGAATCATCTTCTCTTTCTGATGGATTTTCCCAGTCCAAGGAACGGAATTTTTCCCGATTAAATGCTTCTCCAGGAAATGGATAATTTGTGAAGACAGTGACAGCTTTTCCCTGTAAAGTTGGGCCTAATCGGAACTGTAGTTCAAACCCTAAACAAAAAGCACATTTGAATAAACTACTGAGGTCATTATAAGACTAAAACGGATGTTTTACTTAAAACATTATAAAAACTATGAATTTTCAAATACATTTAAAATAACTAGACATACCTAATGCTAATTTTTAAACTACTTGGCATTCTGACTTAGTTGAATTTTATATTTTAGCAAATACAGCAAACATCCCAGAACTGTCTGCTTTGCAACATTCACCCCCCTTTCCCTTCCCTGGAAACCGATTCCTATTTAAATAGCTGTAAGATGTGCAACTTCTCTTAAATTTTTTAAAATTATACTTACTTATTCAGGAGGCATGTGCACTACACCCATGTGTGGAAGTCAGAGAAGAACTTTCAGGAGTCATTTCTCTCCTTCCACCATATGAGTCCCAGGGATCCAACTAATGTCATTAGATTTGAAATGAAAACTTTTACCTGCCGAGCCAAGTCATTGGTCCAAGATGTGCTTCTCACCTGACATTATTTAACCCTAATCCCTCAGCCACTACTCTGACTACACAATTAAACAACCAGAGAAATGTATCTGAGCAAAGCCCTTCTCTAGTACTTTTCAAAGTGCAACAGAGAAAGTGAGTTTCTCTGTGTCAGAGAATCAGCACATATGTAGAGTTTGGGAGACTGACATGGGACAGCCATCCTACCACACAGAGAAAGCCAGTGTTTGGTGAAAGAAGTCAATGCCAAGAGGCAGACTTTAGACTTTTAACAAGTGTTCTGGGGACAGTAAGTGACTCTCTTATGCCTGTTCAAATATAGTGGTGAGCTAATAAAGGTCTACCAACTGGCTAGTGAGGTGGGAAGCATAGCTTGTAGTGTCTGCTGACCACCTAGTGGAATGACCCCACCACGGACAATCTGAAGCTACCAAACAGAGCACTGAGCTTGGAAGTGGAAAGGGTGTGTCAGTTGGTCACAGTACTGCCTATCCTTACAACTCATGGTTATTTAAGTCTTTGTGGGAACCCTGAGAGCCAATATATTCCCACTTTCACTCAAATTAGGCTGTTTCTATTAAAATACATCTGATATTTATGTACTATGCTACAAATATTTTAAGAACAAATTCATACATTTAAAATTGCATTGCAGAAGAAAAGTTTTACTTGGTTTAATTGAACTTTTTTAATTATCAGAATGTGAAAGTTCTAACTATAACCAAACTG